ACCACAAAAGCTTAAAACGTGGAAGTGGTTGTGCCTACTTTCCACATTTTGAGGGGGTGGTTACTAGTCATTCTCCTCTATAAAAATCCACTGATGGCTACAAGAAAAGGGAGGCAAGAAGACGAATCTAGCATCTTGTGCACTCAGCTCTCAAATATCCTAGCTCGGGTATTCAAAATCCGATAACACTTCTACCATGATCAAAGCTTATTGGTAGTCTTGTTCGAATCCTAAGGAGAAGAGGGCCGAACTTTGAGATCTCGGCATACTCGGCCAACAAGCAATCAAGCATTTGTTCAGCCTTCGAACTCATCCAACCAAATTTCTACCACGCGCTGACGTTTGTCCTCAACCTCGTTCTAATCGTCAAAGGGAAGCAAACTTGACACGAGCATCTGGGGAAGCATCCTATCGCCCCAAAGAACCCACATTAAACAAGGAGAGATCGAATCAATTCTCTCCTGCTTCTGTGTAAAAGCGATTTCGATTTGTAATAAACAATTCAATTAATACAAATTTTGAAATCTCATTTTACGATAAACAAGCATGTGTCCACTGTTCAGTGGAGATTAACAATAATATATTTTTATGTGTATAACATTAGCAATTTAAAATTTAGTAAAATTTCGGTATTATCTAATTTAAAATTTGTTGACATAAAATCACTAATTAAAATCACGAATTCAAAAGTTATTGACATAATTAAGTTTTTGAAATATTATAATTAAAATTATTTAATTTTAAAAAAATTTATAATATCAAAAAAAAATATTTTTAAAAATTTATTATAATTTCTATAATATTTCTAAAAATAGAAAATAATTTTTAGATAGACTCTTTAACCACTTTAATATTTTAAACTGATTATATCTAACTGAGGGGATTTGCTTTTATTTCTGATTTGAATTAGTTACTAAAGATATTGCCAAATATATTCTAATTGATTACAAAATAATTTTTACTATATCTAAATATCTGATATAAATTGATTTTTTCTATATTTGAATATCTTATTTGAATGAATTATTATAGATATTATCAAAGATATTTTAAAATTTTAAAAATGTATAAATATATTTTCAAAATTTTATAATAATTGTTGTAATATTTTAAGAAACTAAAAATAATTGTTTGCTTGTAATTTCAACCACTATAATAATTTTAAAATTCAAAAATATATTTTAAAATATTATAACTCGAAATTTTTAATTTCATAATTTTTTAAAAATCATAAAAATATATATTATCAAAAAATATAAAATCTATAATATTTTTAAATTTTAAAAATATTTTAAAAAATATTTTTTAATCACTGTAATATTTTTGTATTTGATTTGGATTCACCACGAAAGATATTCAAATTGAATATATCTGAATATCTATTTTGAAAATAAACACTTAAATCTGGAGATTTTATTTTATTTTTTATTTAAATTAGTTGCTAAAGATATTTCCAAAAATATTTTAATTGATTATAAATTAATTTTTTAGTATATCTAGATATCTAATTATAAATGTTTTTTCTATATCTGAATATCTAGTTTTAATTAGTTACAAAAGGTATTTCCAAAAATATTCTAAAAAATAAAAAATTCCTAAGAATATTTTCAAATATTTATAATAATTATCGTAAAAATTTCAAAAATAGATAATAAATTTTTTTGTAATTTTAAATCACTACAATAATTTAAAAACCAAGATATATATTTTAAAAAATAATAATCAAAAATTTTAAATTTTAAACTTTTTTAGAGAATTTTAAAGAGAAAATATATTTTTAAAATATTTTTTAAAAAATATTTTTTAAAAACTAGGAATATTTTTTAAAATATATTTTTTAATCACTATAATATGTTTTAATCTTATTTGGATCTAGCACCAAAGATATTCTATTTGATTATAAATTGATTATATATAAATATCTGATTTGAAAAGAAATGCCTAAATGGGGAGATTTGATTTTATTTATGATTTGAATGAGCTACTAAAGATATTGTTAAAGATATTCTAATTGATTATAATTTAAATTTTTTACTATATTTGAATATCTGATTATAAAATAATTTTTTCTATATCAGAATATCTGATTTGAATTAGTTACAAAAGACATTTTCAAAAAAATTCTAAACATTTCAAAAATACCTAAGTATATTTTCAAATATTTATAATAATTGTTGTGATATTTTTAAAAATAAAAAATAATATATGTTTATAATGTTTAATCATGGTAATAATTTAAAAACCAAAAAATATTTTAATATATTATGATCCGAAATTTTAATATTTTAGAAAGTTTTAGAGAATTTTAAAAGAGAAAATATATTTTAAAAATCTATTATAGTTACTGTTATATTTTAAAAATAGAGAATATTTTTTAAAAAATATTTTTCAATTGTTGTAATATTTTTTAATCTCACTTGGATCTAGCACCAAAGATATTCAAATGATTATAAATTGATTATATATGAATATCTGATTTGAAAAGAAACCCCTAAATGAGGGGATTTGATTTTATTTGTGATTTGAATTAGTTAATTAAGATATTACCAAGGATATTCTAATTGATTATAAATTGAATTTCTCAATATCTGAATATCTGAGTATAAATTATTATTTTTCTATATTTTGAATATCTGATTTGATAACAAACGTCTAAATGAAGTGATTTGGTTTTATTTGTGATTTGAATTATTTACCAAAGATATTACCAAATATATCTAATTAATTATAAATTAATTTTTTTCTATATTTGAATATCTAATTGTAAATTAATTTTTCTATATCTAGATATCTTATTTGAATTTTTCTATATTTGAAAATGCCTAAATATTTTTTTTTAAAATTTATTATAATTGTTGTAATATTTTTTAAAATAAAAAATATTTTTTTAATTTTTAATTGTTGTAATAATTTAAAAACCAAAAATATATTTAAAACATATATTTTAATTACTACAATATGTTAAAACATTAATGTATATTTATTGTGAAAATTTCAAAATTATTTTAATTACAAAAATATTATAAATAATTGAAAATGTACTTTCACAACTTTCTAAATATGTAATAAAATCATAATTAAATTTAGAAATTTGTAAAATAAAATTTTACCTTTATATAAAATTGAAAAAAAAATCAAATTGTAATATGTAGATTGGAATTAAAACTCAAGTTCTGTAAAATTAATTAATTTTGGTAACAACTAAAACTAAAAAAATACTACACATATTAAAATAAAATTTATTTTATACCGGGGTAGATGAAATAGTTCAATTATATTTTTCCAAGTAACCAACAATCTAAAAAATAAATTCAAAAACTATTCAAAATAAATTCAAAAAATATTAAAAGATGTAAATAAATATATTAAATACCAGAAGTTTGTTCTACAAGAAATAAAATCTTTGTGGGTTGAAGATTTAAAATTGTTGATTTGTTTTCCTACCATAATATAAAAATATTAAAAATATTAACACTACAACAAAATACGACATTGCCAACGAAACAAAAACGTCGGTAAAAGTTTAAAAAACGTCGGAAAAAATCTTTCTTGACACAAAATGCATCGTCGCTAACGCATCGCCAAAAGTGCGTCAAGGAAAGTATTTGGCAATGCTGTTAGACCCTAGAGGGGGGGTGATTAGGGTCTTATGCTAATCTAATCCGATTGAATGCCAATTAAAATTAATTCACAAGTTATCCTAGCAAGTATGAAATACCACAAGATATATGAGCTAGGATAAGCAATGTAAACAATAAGATATATCCTAATAATGAGATATAGGCAATGTATATGCAAGGATATATAAACAACACAAGGGTAGATAATCTAAACAAGCACTACAACAAATTGCACTTTTCCCGACGCTTATTCCCGACGCATGGTTAAATACGTCGCCAAAAATTATGTTTTTCCCGACGCTTTTAGTTAGCGTCGGCAAAAAATATATTTTTCCCGACGTTTATAATTAGCGTCGCTAAAAATGTATATTATTAGCGACGTTTTAACTTAGCGTCGATAAAAGTTATGGATTTCCCGACGTTTTTTCATTTTCGTCGGCAAAAGTATAGCCTTTTAGCGACGTTTTAAAATTAACGTCGCTAATAGTATGCATTTATCGCGACGTATTAGGCTAACGTCGCTAAAAGTATTCTTTTCCCGACGTTTATATTTAGCGTCGCTAAAAATTATATTTTTAGCGACGCTACTTTATTTATCCACGTCGCCAAAACCCCACCCCCCAAATCACCCCCCGAAATAAAAGGAGGGATAATTCCCCCCTTTTATTTTGACGAAGAGCCAAAGTCGACGAAGAGCCAAAATCGCCAAAACCCCACCCCCAAATTCTCTGAAAGTTCCCCGCCTTTGTCGAAGCTCACCGACGCCATCGTCGGAGATCTCCGCCTCCGTCGAAGTTCACCGCCGCCTCCGTCGGATCTCGTCGTCGTCAGAGCTCTCTCGCCGCCTCCCTCCCTCTCTCGTCATCAAAACCAGCGCCTCCCTCCCTCTCTCTCTCTCTCGCTCTGTATTCTCAACTCAAGGATGAGATCTCGTTCAAAGGTGAGCTTGATTTCGATCTTGTTCTGTCTAATTTTTCTTTAGATTTCAGTTGATGTGAAGTTTTTATGCGGGATCTGGATCTCGTTTGGGCGATTCTAGACTGTGATTAGCTTTAGATTGGATCTAGGGTTTTTAGTAGATTTATCAGAGATTTGGGTGCTCTTGTTCTAGATCTGTGCATTTTTTTTTTGAATTCTGAGCATTTTTTGAAGAAAATTGTTAATAATTCTTCTCCTTTTCTTGTTCTCTAATTTAGTTGGAAGCCTCTGCGATAAAAGTAATGCTCACGGACCGTAAACTTTTTAGCTAGTCAGTATAATGAGGTGAAATAGTCAAGCAAAACTTAATTTACAATTGATTTAAGGTTGTTCTCTATATAAGGCCCCCTATCCTTGTGTTCGAGTTCTCATCGAGCCCCTCCCCAATATCTTCAACTCTCTCACCCGTTGCCCTCTCCATCTGTCTCTCACTATGAGCTATTTGAGTATGATGGAGGCTAGGTTGCCTCTAGGGTTCAGATTTCACCCGAGTATGTGCGTGCGGATTGCTTGAGGCCATAAACCGTCTGCAGTATAAGATGTTTATGAGATGATGCTTGTCTTGTATACTCAGGTTGAAGCCATCAGTGACTAATGGAGATCCAATGAATTTCGAGTAATTTCACTTTGGTTATGCTGCTTGCTTCTTATGAATCATATTTTTAAGCCAAAGTCCGATGTTAGCAAGCAATATGATCTAATCACGATGAATTCAGACACGCTAGTTTACAATATTTTTCCTTACATTTTGTTACTGAACTAGTTTTGTTTTCATCTTATGATATCAGAACCCTGTTATAGAAATAACTTGGGGACATTCTTTTTATCATAGAATATTGTAGAATAGCATACCACCCTTGCTTACATTGAGACGTGTACTGAGACTGGCCTTTGTTACTGTATTTCAATAATATACTGCTGACATTATCATGGAGATTCAGTTGAACTGGAAGTAACTGGGTAGTGCATGTTTAAGAGCCTCTTGTTTACTTTTAGCTGAGATTATTCCATGAGTTAAAAAATGAACCTGGTAGATGTGATGATAAAGAATATCTGAGATATTGTTTTCTTATTTATTTGATATATATGAGAAGTGACTTCTTACAACATTAGGTCCATGTTAAAACTTTCTCATCGCCAAGTTATCAATTTAAAGTGTATAAATGGTTCTTGTGTATGAAGAAAAGGGTGGGGGGAAAGCGCGGTGACGATTTTGTAATCGAAGAAACCTATAGATATCCCAAGCAAAGTGGAAATGATTCCTGAAAGTTGCCAGCATTCTTGAGTTTTATTTTTTCGACTGCACGACCAACTAGAAAGCCCTCAAACGACCGGGAGCAGCGTAGGTAATAATATTATTTACATATCAGATTCACCTTTCCTTTATATTAGATATAAAATTTAATTCAATTAACTTTGTATTTTTGGTAGGATCGGTACTATCGACCCGTAGAAATGTACGCGGTGCAACACGAGGGAAGGGGACAGAGAGATTGGTGAGACAATTGGTTCATGCGATTTCAGTTCCGATCCCTTCCTCGAGTGGAGCACCGGAGGGGGAGCATGCGACATCCCTCGCGAATGAGATTGGGAAGGAGATCCGATCATCTGCGTACCGGTTCGCAATTGTGGTTGGGACAATATTGATGCTGGGATTCGAGAGGCGATCATTATGAGAGTTCGGGTATTTTTTTTAATCATTCTTTAATGATATTCTTTAATGGTAATATCTATGATTTTCATGCTACACTATCTGATACAAGCTACCAAATAGGGTTGTTAAGGAATAGATTGCTTCAAATGCTGCCCAAGTGTTTTCAGAAGCATGTAAAGAATTATGCTTTTTCAATTTACTGGTCCACTTAAGACACAGAACGAAAAAAAAAATTGAGCTATCCAGCGTAAAGTCATTTCTAGTGCATCCATGTAGCAGGTTTAGAATCTCAACGTGCTCTCTATTATGTAGTGCATTTTATTTGACCGTAAAATAATTAGTCACGTGTTTACTACATTCTTAAGTTATTAAAGATTTGGTAGTAGAGTTTGTTTTGTGAAGATCAGTATATCTACTTACTTTTGCTTTATCTCTATCAGATTTGGGAACCATGAAAATGTTAGTTGAATATCTATATACTTTAAGGATATATCAAATTTGATAGTTGAGTTTGTTCTATGGGATCTGAGATATCTCAATGCTTGATCTTGAATATGCGATGCGGAAAATAGCAAGTTTGCTTGGAGCATAAAATCTCATATCTTAAACTTGCCATTCCAGCAGGTTTTCCCAAAGGAAGAAGTTTTCATGGATAAGGACCATAAGTTGTATCTCTAGTTTCACTCCAAATAGAGGTTCATTTGCTTGGTGGCAGAAAGTTAAAAGAATCGGAGATGTTTTGTTAGAAGCTTATTAATCAAACACAGAGTATTTCCTGCCTTTACTTAAAAATAAAAAAAATCTTCTTATTTGCTTTCTGATATTGTTGCAAAGTGGGCAAACAGAAGAGTGAGTCCTTTACTTGCAAGTCAGTCTCATGAAAAAAAAATTCTTTTTATCATGAATTTAGTCGAGAGTTTTTTGCTTTGCCTTGTTTTATATTCTTTCTTTTTTGAAATGCAAACTTCCGAATACATCTCTCTCATTTTCTTTTGCGATTGACATCATAAATGTACATATCAGCTTTAAGTTAAAGTTTTCAGAAGTACGCGTTGCTATCTTTCAAGTACTGGTCTAGTAAAATACTTCGGTTTGCAGGTCTCTACAATCATCGCCAGTTACTGGCACACATGGGAGTTCTTTAGCTTTCAAGGTCAGCTGAGAAATGTTTACAAGTTCCTCTTTTATTACTGGCCAAGTGCTAATGTTACTTCTTTGATGCAGCCACTTGTTGAAACTCGTTCTTTCTCATCCACAGGTTTTGTACCCTTTACTTCGTACATGAAACATGATATTTCTTTACATAATACTGAAGTAATAAATAGGTGTTACTTGGAAAGGTTTTCTGATTTTTTATTTTAAACCTGTCACCTTCCAGGCCTTTATGCTCAAAATGATTTTCTTTTAAATAAGTTACTTTCAAGTGAATCACGAAGCTCGTTCTAGGCCTGCATTTTTACTTCTATGTGGTACTTATTATTTCCATTCAAAAAGGGCAATGCCTCTCTTCTTGTCTTCTCGGATCTGTGCAGTGAATCATGGAATTCAGCTAATGTTTGCCAGAGTAGCATGTTTTGCTCAGCTTGGTGAGGAGAATCAGTTACACTCGGGTATGTAGAATTTGCTCTATTCAGTACATTTCTCTGGATGTTGTTTTGGATTTGTTTCCTATGGCCTAGACGGGGAAATGCTTTCCGGGAGACTGTGTTGCTGTTATTGGTTTTGCTGTACATTCCTACCAAGAAGTTCCTGTCCTACACTGTATGCGAGAGACAAACACTGTTGCAGATGCACTATCTAAACTGGGCCATGGTCTTCCTCAAATCCATTTGTTCTTTGTAATTAATGATACAAATTTGATATTGTTGTTTCTAGTTTTCTTGATGTAATCTGTTTTTGAGAGACTTTATGTACTTGGGTATGCAAGAGGAAGTTTGTAAATTAACGCTTTTAGCGCTCAAGGGGAAATGGCGCTCAAGGAGAAATGGAAAAATAGACTTTTATGTTGATGTGAATGTGATCAATTTTTTTGTGGATGTTCAGATTCAGTGTAGGCTTGTATTTGACAGAGAATATATTATTTTTGGTGATGCAAATTAGTGTCGATAAGCGTCAGTAAAAGTAACACTTTTGTCGACGCTATAGGATATCGCTAAATGTAACATTTTTGCCGACGACATATTATGTCACCAAAAGTAATATCTTTTAGCGACGCAATTTTGCGTCGGCAAAAATACACTTTTAGCGACGCGGAATGGAGCGTCGCTAAAAAGCTAATCTTTGGCGACGCGTGATTTACGTCGGCAAAATTGTAGCTTTTAGCGACGCTCTATTCTGCGTCGCTAAAAGCTACACTTTTGCCGACGCAAATCATGCGTCGCCAAAGATTAGCTTTTTAGCGACGTTCCTTTCCGCGTCGCTAAAAGTATACTTTTACCGACGCATTACCCTTTGCCGACGTTAAGTACGTCGCCAAAAGTGTAAGATTTTCCGACGCCGTTTCGCATATGGAAAAAATCAGCATGCTTTTGCCGACGCAAAATAATATGCGTCGCTAAAAGATGTACTTTTCCCGACGCATGTCGCATCGCTAAAAATGTACTTTTGACGACGCAGTGTATTTGTGTCGTCAAATACTTTCCTTGACGCACTTTTGGCGACGCGTTAGCGACGCTGTATTTTGTTAGAAGTATGAGGGCATGGGGTATATATAGGCTCATGAAACAAGTCCAAAAACCAAGAAAAACACCCCCAAAACATTAAAATAAACAAAAAAACAGAACTAGCCGTTACTGTAGCAACAGTCGGATGCTACAGTACTTTGGTCGACCGGTACGGTCGACCGAGAGCCATGTGCAAAGCTGAGAAACGTCCAGAGACATTTCCGGTCGACCGGAATTACTGTAGCAGTGCGCAGCTGTTTTGTAAAATCAATTTAAATAAGAAAATGAACTCCAAAAATTATGAAATTTTGTGGGAATGTTCTAGACATGTAGAATAACATGTCAGAGAAAGAATTTCTGAAAAATATTTTCCCAGTTGAGATAAATAAATATTTGAACACAAATTTACAGTTTCTGAAAAAAACTGTTAACATATACGATTTTGTAAAATCAATTGGCACAGTAAATCAACTCCAAAGATAGTAAAAACTGGAGGAAAGTTTCTAAACATATAGATAAACATGTCAGAGAAAGAATTTTTCAAATATCACTTCTTATTTGTGAAAACTCATCAGTTTTGTAAAACATGCACGAACATGTGCACGAACGAAAACGTGGATTTGTAAATTCCATTAAACATAACAAATCAATTCCAAACTTGATGAAACTTTGTAAAATATTTGTAAACATGAAAAAAAACATGTTAGAAAAAGAATTTCTCAAATTGAATTTCTATTTGTGAAAACTCATGTATTTCGCAAGTGTGTCCAAAGCATGAAAACTCAAAACCATGCATGTATATATATAACTATATATATACATAGAAACCAAATACGTGTGTGTATATGATATTGAGCTTAAGGTACTTAACACACATAATATAAAATCTAAACTAAAGTTACCCAAGCAATGATCTTGATCTTCATTGTGGCTCAACTTGGTACACGTTGCGGATGAAGCTTGAACTTGATCTTTGAACTTGATCTTTAACTTGAATTGTATATTGCTTCACCGACATTCCGCCAACCTCCTTTGGATATGATCGTTGAAGCTCTATTCCATCCATTCTCCAACTACGTTGTTTGTCTACAATAAATACGAAAACACAAATACTAGACAAACAACATTAGTGGTAAATTGTTTGTTAAACATCATCAAAACAAGAAGGTCAACAAATGCAAATATACTGCGTCGAGAAATTATATCTTTTAGTGACGCATAATATTTTGCGTCAGCAAAACGTGTACTTTTGGCGACGCATGTAGCGTCGGCAATAGCTATGTGTCGGCAAAAGTATAGCTTTTAGCGACACAAAATTATTCGTCGCTAAAAATTATACTTTTGGCGACGCAAGTTAGCGTCCGCCAAAGTTTATCTTTTAGAGACGCAGAATTAAACGTCGCTAAAAACTATACCTTTGGTGACGCAAGATAGCGTCGCTAAAAGATATTATTTTTGACGACGCAATATAGCGTCGGTAAAAGTATAATTTTAAGTCGGTAAAAAGTATATTTTTATTGACACTAATTTGCATCGCCAAAAGTAATATCTTTTCTGTCAATTACACTAAATCTGAACATCCACAACAAATTTGTTCTCATTCACATCAACAAAAAAACCAAACATCAAATTATACTCCAAACAAGTTGCATATTAACAGCTAAAATAATATCGGTGCTTATTTTCACAATCATTAAATTGAAACAAATAATAACATTAGTAAATAAATTTAAACGCAATTCTATTAAACAAATAACAAGTGTTTGACACATGTTTTATTAACAAATTCAACAATCATGATTAAGTAGACTTATCAGGTAACAAATTCAACAATAATGACAAAATGATACACACAATTCATCCGGAAACTTATCAGGTAACTGAAATCATCAAAGAAAAAAAATTACTACATTGAGTTACACACAATTCTTTAACTAAACTAAGATATATTAGAAGAACAGGTTCTTAATACTTAGGCAGGTAAGGATGCATATTACCTGTGTCAAATCTAATGGAAAACCATGTGCCCCACAAAACAAATGCATCCTGCAACCAAGAAAATCAAATTAGAACCATGGAAGTTTACGAAAAGGTGGAGAAACAGAAACAGGACACCATGCAATGGTCATACCCATCATTTTGCATTTCATCCTGTGTTTCTTCATCAAGTGAAGTTGTGCAGGCATTTCTTGGGTTTTCAAGAGTACGACTCACATGACCAAAAAGCTAGTTTCTTTAAGTTAATAGTAATAGATGAAGACTTTAGAATGTGTCAAAAGCCTAAAATTAAAAACAAATACCCGACTGTCGATCAGCATTAGCAATGGCAGGGGTCATTGCAGAGCTAGGGCCAACACCATAACCCTAAAATGACAAAAGAAAAAATAAAATAGGTCAAGTATATAGTAAATGATAACTGAGAAAAGGTCCCAGCTAGCCTGTCTATATATATAACTCACAAGAGCGCGAGGAGGGGGACTTGCGATCTGCGACTGCTGATACTTCAATATTGTCCAGTCAAAAACATAATCAAACTGGAACCCAAAACAAGGGAATGGTTACTATCAAAATGCAATCGCAGATTTTTAAGCAACACCAATGGTAGTTACATCAAGGGGTTGGATTGCAAAAAATTGGTAGCTGTTAGTACAGTTGCAGTGCAGCAGTTTATTTGCAGTTATAACCTTTTCCCCACTACAGTTGCAAAATTAAGTTTACTTTTTGCAAAAAGTACATGAGATTAATTTGGTAGCAAGTCTTTTTTTTGCACAAAGAATAAGTCATTTTATAACTGCAATTGTAAAAAAAGTTGCAGTCGCCTCAAAACAAACAGCTATACTTGCAACTGTAATTGTCTTTTGCATGTTGCAAATACAGTTTCAGTATGTACTTCTGCATAGCAAAGAGTCCCTCAAGTCCCAAGCTTCTGACAAAAAATTCACTTCCAATAAATGTATATATAGGGGAAGACAGCAGCTAACCTTCACGAATAAATAGATCTCTGAACAATCTCTTAAGATAGGCATAATCTAGCTTATCATCAAATCTCAGTGAACGACAGTAGTGAAAATAAGATGCAAATTCTGAAGGATAACCATGACACAAGGCCTGAAAAGTATAAGCAGTCTCCCACATTGTCATCAAAGTTGATTTCTCAAGGATAACTGCATGATGAAAAGCATCACAAGTTCAATATATTCGATTATTTTACCTCAATAGGTGTGGATACTTTTCTTTCACTGATCTTTTCATACTTTTTTTTTGGGTTCCTGCTTTCAGACCTTGCCATGGAAGGCTGAAAAGGAAACAAAAAATGAAAAATCATTGAATAAGTCGAAAGAATGAATCACTAACATCAAGAAGAGAGTCATACCTTCCTCTCAAGAAATACATGATAACATATCCAAGAGATTCTAAATCATCTCTCCTGCTTTGTTCTTGGCAATTAAACAAGAAACAGTGATCAGTAACCCAAATCAGCAGAATAAGCATTTTGTCTAGATTACGAAAAGAATAAAAAGAAAAGGTTCAAAAGTAATAACTGATGTGGACATCGCACAGCCTCCACTTCGCACATACTTTCGCCGCCGCCGTCGTCTTGCTTCAGCTTATATTTGGTTTTGATTTTTAGAAGGCTTGGAGTCTAGCTAGTGTTACTTTTATTCTCTTTATTGTATTTGCTCTTTTTTTAGTCCCACATCGGATATGAGAATGAACTTGTAATTGTTGAAGGCCTATTTAAAGAGGTCAATTCTATGAAATAAGGCAATGAATATTTGAAGAAAATTTTGTTTCATTTGTGAAACTTTGGGTAATTGATTTGATCTATAGGATTGAGTCAATGGTGGTGAAGCCGAGGCCCGGGTTGCGATTCGTGGTCATATCTTGTTAATTTTCCCAAACCCTAGCTTTCCCAAATCTTTGTTCTTCCCCAAATTTCCCAAATCCCTTACATAAACCCTAAAATTCCCATCGTCCCGCATCATTTTGGTATCAGAGCAAAAGTAGATCAACCTGATTCTTCTCCATCTCAGGTTCTTCCATCTTTTCTATTATTATTATTTTTTTTTTAAGTTTGTAGCAAAAAAAAAAAGAAAAAAAATTCGCTGAAACCAATCCCTACTCAGTTGCCGATCTACTCAATCCTCAAAAAAAAAAAAAAAAAAATCAAAACCACATCATTCTCTCGTCAAAAACTGCATCACAGGCCTTCCATTACAAAAAAAGAAAAGAAGCGCCTAATCCCCATCCCGTTCATACTATTTCCCAGGCCGCCACCTCTTCAAATTTCGTCTCCTTCCTCTCTCT